TGTTAATTAAGTCTTGGCGTCTGTAGGTGATCGCTTTCTGCTCAGATAACGTACTCAGAGAATTTTCATGCAGCATAAGCCTGTGTAGATCAGGCCAATGGAAATCAGCAGCGCTAAAGGTAAAAAATAGCATGCCATTTGTTCCTAATTGATTAATCATGTCTTTCAGTTCTGATCGATGTCTGTTCCAAAACTGACGAGAACCGCGCAAACTTTCTCCAAATCGTACAATTTTATCCACTATATGATTATCATTCTCAAGCATTTTCTGTAAATCTTCAACGGTACACTGACCATTATTTAAACTCTGCTTTACATACACTTTTCCCTCTTGCAGGGTCCTCAAACACATTTGCAAGTTCAAAGTAAAGTAGCACCAACGAGCATGACGAGCGAATCAGCCATCTTTATACTTGAGTAAGTGTGAAAAATACTTAGCTAGTTTTACATCTCTAGCACGTTCTGAATGAAGATTGGCAGCTCCAGTAGGGTATAAGGTCAGAAATACGCGAATAATATATCTAGGAGTTTGGAATTCATTTACCAGAACTCCATCTATATTGGGTCACAGGGTCGGTTCAGTTTCAGCTTGTAATCAAGTAAGTGTATCAGTAATAGCAGTATTTTCTTTAGGGGTAAGAAAGGGAATGGGAATAAAATTATTAACCATTGAATCATTGAGGTTATCTGCGTCATCAGAGATTTCATCATTTATATCTTCAAGTTGAGGAATCTAATCATCAAGAGAGCCATTATCAGGTAAAGCTCTCAAAACTTCTTTATCAATGACGATATTAGAATAGTAACGATTATTATGCTTCAACCAATGAAGAGCACGAGATACCATAAAATGACGTATGTTAAAATCTTTAAATGCTCTACCATCAGAAAAGCGATGACGTATAACAAGAATATCAAGTGATAATGAACGATGAGGTAGACGTGTAGCGAATTCCTAAATGTCTTGAGGAAAATTAATCACGTTACTCCAATACGCATATTAGCCACCACTCAGATGATATATGGAGATGATGGAAAATATCTGGGCAATGAGCATCTTTTCTATTTGAGTAAGACCTTGTAGTTCCTCATGTATATCACCCGAATCCATATTATTTCTCGATGAGAACTTTTTCAATTCAGGATTCAATTTAAGTCTTTTCAACTTTTTAATTTCTGAGTGGTAATGATGACATTTATCACATACAAATTCGATTGACGGAAAACATTCATTGCATACAGTACAAAGATTATTAGCAAACTTATCAATTTTAAAACAAAATTTATGGAGTAAGTTTAGGTCAGAATCGGGAAGACAATGGTCATCAATGATATGATGCGAAGTATTTGGCTGGTCATTTATAATATAGAGCGGAGCATCATACTGGTGATTTTTGTGATTATTACGATTAATAGAACATCTTTCACGATTCTTACTTAAACGGATTTTTCGTTGTTCAGCATTTTCATTTGACCTTTTAACACGTTTTCTTTCTCTATCGCATTTTTGATGAAGGTTGCATTGTTCAGAAGTCTCATTTTTTCTTTCTTTACGTTTTTGAAGGATATCACAAAGAGGGCGTTCATCCATTTCACAGATATTATGTATGGCAAGCAGATACAAAATTTAATGAAGCAAAGTAAAAAAAATAATAAAACTTAAAAGACAAAAAGCTATATTATTATATAATTCTATCAATTAATATAAGATACAAATAACAACTTTATTTTTATTTAGCTTGTAACAGTATTTATTTTTTAATTTTTAAGTTTAATATATATAACGACAAAAAGAAGATGATAAATAAATAATGTGACACAAAGTAGCTGTAAAAAAGGATTTGGTCATACGAATAACAAAATAAAAAGGTGTAAAACATGATATCATAACAATACATATTATTAGCAGATTACGCGTGCGGACAGACATTGCATGCATATGCATGCATAAAAGTAGGTCTAACCGTATATGTCCTTCAGCTAAAGCTTCAGACAAATAATGTTATTATCTGAATTGAAACATTCTACTAGAATTAATTCACTAGATATATTCTATTCTATTAAACTTTATAATAATAGTTATAAAGTTTATATTCAATGATTATTTTATCAAAATTGATCAATTATTTTTAAAGTAATAAATTACAAGATATAATAGTCACAAGCTCTGTTTAATTTTAGATTAAACTATTAAATTTTATATTTGTAATTTGATTAGTTATTGATGCAATCATTAAATCAAGATCAAATCTTATAACATCTATGTAGATTTTATAATATCTATATATTTTTTATTATATCTGATCAATCAAAATTGTAATTGACTATAAATTTTTTGGTCAATCTGATTTAATTAGGGCTATTTTATTAAATTTTATTGATCTTTTTTAACAATCAATTAGCATTTCTTATAATATTATAATATCATCACTTAATAGTTTTTATTAAGTAATTAAATGAAAAAGCAAATTTATGTAATAAATTTGCTATTTGCAAAGTATATAAAATTAAAATAAAATTATAAATATACATATGAAAATAAATTTACTAACACAAAACTTTTCTATAAATGGCATTTAACTAAGTATAAAAATTTTAAAATTATATATAAAACAAGAGAGTATAAGAAATTATAAAAATATTGACAATAAATTAATAAAGCAGTAAATACAAAATAAAAAATAATCACATTATGAAGATTTTAGTAAGTTAAATATGAAAAAATAAAAATAAACGTATTTAATTAATAATTACATATATAATTTAACATCTAAGTGAAAATAAAGAAATTAATGATAATAATCTTATAATACTTTCAAATATTAATACTTCAACTATTACATTAAATTTATCACTTTATTTATTAATATTAAGTATATCTACGCATATTATTATTATTTTTAAAGATGCATTTATATTAAATAGTTAGAGTTTTAGATAGATAAAATATTCAGATTCTATTATTTTATTTAAGTTTATTAATCTATAAGTTAAAATTTTAAATCACAAACATCTTAACAGAAAAAATTTAAAATAAAGCTTTAAAATATTTTGTTTAAGAAATTCAAGAAAATGTGAAATCTAATATCTATAAAATAATCATAATAATAGATGATTAGATAAATGTAACTAAATAAAATATTTTAGATAATATTTTAATTACTAGTTTAAGTAAAATATTAATTTGAAATGCAAAATATATTAATATTAAATGAATAAAAATTGAAGAAATAAAAGTAAAAATAATGAAATTAATTAATGATATTGTTAAAAAAATATTATAATATTTGCAATGATAACTAATAGTCATTTCACTTATGCTTTAATAATAGTAATTTTTTTTATACTTTTATTATTAATTTATTATACTTATATAAATAAAATTATTTACTTTTATTTTTTAATAAAATATGAAAATACTTTAATTTAATAATCTATTAATAGTTTACTTTTCATATTTTATACATTAAGTCAACTTATATATAGGAGAAATATTTAAAGAATTACTAATTACAGAGAAGTTTACAGAAAATTCAAAAATTTGTATATAATAAATATTAGAATTTAATTGTATCAAAATTTACATAATGAAATAATTACTATTATTATTTTAGTAATTTTTAAAAACACATAATATTTTAAAGATATAGATATATTATATATTTTTTATTATGAATTAACAATTAAAATTATAACTAATTATAGAATCTAGTAATCCAATATAGTCTAAGAATTAAAAAATATTATTTATATTCTGATAAAGAATTCAATCATAATAATCATAAAAATAAGTATAAAAATACTTATAATAAAAATACAGCTATTATCTTAAAAATTTAATATTAATTTACTAAAAATAAATTGGTTGATCTAAATCAATACATTCAATATTATTATATTATATAAATAGGTAAAATTTATAACTATTTTATATAAACTTCAGAATTATAATTTAAAAAAATTTTTATTTAATAATTCTTGTGTTAATCAATTTTAAGATAATATATTTGCATATTGACAATAGTATTTAACTAAATCAAAAGAGCTGAATTTTATAGCATATTGAATTGCAAGTATTTGTATAAATACTATTTTTGTTAAATGATTATAGTCTCAATAGGTCACTTATATTCAATTAGGTAAAACTGGTTATATGTAAGTTTATTAAAATATCTTATTTATAAGTAAAATATTTATAAATATTATTTATAATTTTAAATTATTTAATAATTCAAATAAAGGTGTCATTAATCAAGCTCATTAAAATTATAATGTAGAGCAAATAAAATAATTATATTACTCTAATAATACTTTTACTAATAAAAAACATTAGGATAATAATGGTGATAATGATAATTAAAATGCTGATGATAAAGATTTTGATGATAATAATGATGATGATTTTAATCAACTAATTACAAGTAATAAAAATTAATATTAGTAATAAATTAAGTTTTAAAAGTATAATAAATTTATGGAGTCAAATGTTAAAAAAATGAAATATTAGATGATGAATTTGATTTAGAAGATGAAAAGAATGAAATAGAGAATTTTGATATTGATAATTATCTTTCTAAGTTTAAGCATCTTTAATAAGATTCTACCGCAAAATAGAGGTTATAAAACTTATTTGGTATAAAATTAGAAGTGCTTAAATATGTAAACAATTTATAAATTGATAATAAAATCATTTTTGTAATTAATAAAATAATTTGTATAAAAGTATATTTTTTATATTTTTTATTAAAATGTTTCAGTAAATTAAAAATCTATTTGTCACACTATATGCCACAATTAATTCTAGCCAAATGCCGTGATTTTTGATGGGTACGCAGGGGAAGTCTTGTCCCTATCACTGATCAGCCACATTGGTGTACCCGTGTAAAAATGAAAATATCATGCTTTTGATTTTTTTATGTTAAAAATTAAACCTGTTTTTTTTTTACAAACTGTTTAAGTTTCAAAAGTAAGGTTTTAAGATAATCTTTACTACGTAAAAAATGGGAGAAAAGAACTCAACTAACAAGAATCAGATACAAGGTATTAAGAGAACAGCGTTTCTTTTCAAGTGTTATTAAATATTGAACCATTATAATTGATTTTTAGAAGACGATTTGTCGCCTGATGAGGATTTTAGTGACACTGAAGAGTCTAGAACATTAACAATTAAACTCAGCATCCGTATAGTATCTGATCAACTCTGATTCAGTAAGTTTTCTTGGAGACTGCCAAACTAACTGTTCATGTCTCATTTCAAAATTAAGTTTCCTCAAGAAAAGTTACAAAGAAACCCATGAATTTCCTGATCCCAAATACATGTTCGACCTCAAGACAAAAGGGCTCACTACTCGTGAAAAATTTGTTTGCATGGTGGAATGAAAACCATCCAGATTGTCAAATCACAGTTGATTCTATTAAGAAATGGACTTATCGCGAAGATCAAGATCCTTCAACCTATAATTTCCACTGGAGCGAGTATGGAGATTGAGATTAGAGTATCATGAACGGATACCAGAGTTTTAATCAAGCTTTTCTTATACCATTTTATGAACCAATTTAAATAACATAATTTTTGTAATAAAATACTATTTCATCAAACCATAATTATCACAATTTAACTATTGAACATTAAATTCAAAGCAAACATTTGAGGAAAAAGAAATAAATTTAATTTTTAAAAAAAAAATATTATAGAGATAAAGCAAAGATTTCCACTTTCTTTACAAAAGACCCGCTACGAACATGCTAAAATTAATAGAATTTATCGATATATGGGTCTAAAACACGATTAATAACATTTTCGTCAAGTGTAACGCTTAACGGCCGGCCATGTAGATACCCCATATTTTGTGAAATAGTAATTATCCCTTTCCCCTCTCTTGTTAGAAAGCTTCTATATTCTTGCCTTTCATATGGTACATACTCATCAAAACACTCTGTTTGAAAAGCAGTTGTTAAATAAGTGTATTATGAATATGTGAAAACAATCAAATAAGAAAAGCAAATCAAACCTTCGAACCGAATTACTTGTATATTGTTTTTAATGCCTATTCGTTTCCCAACTACACGTAATCCTCCCGCTGCTCTCATATATCGCCTTCTATTGACTCGATTCCTAACCATTCCCCACATTGCATTAGGCTTGAAAACTACTATACCGTTATTGTTAGTCGCTAAGGTAATGGACGGTTTCTGCCGCTCTTTCCAATTCTTCTTGCATAGTTCCAACCGTATAAACCGCATTAACCATATTGTGGTTACGAGCCCTAACTTTCCTGCACAATCGATGGTAATTGTATTCGCTTATTTTTACCTCACAGGTTCCTATAATAGAAATTTTAAAAAGAAGAAATGATGTGAATAATTCGTTTAGAAATAGAATATACAATAACATTGATACTATACTTCCTCTAAAAGTTCGCGTGCAAGTGTTTCTGTATGAGAATCCAACTATACCACAAAATAGTTAAAGTACCTTCAATTACCATTGAAGGCACCACAAATATTCAGAAAAACAAAGTACCGCCAATAGCATTGAAGGCACCATAAATGTCAAGTAAAAAATACTCCATATCACCAAAAGGACTAAGGTGATAGGAAAAGAAATAACTAAGAAAATAGATGATATGATTCCCAAAATCACAAAAACGCAAACACGTAAATTCCACATTTTAAGAATTTAAAAATTGTTCTCAAATAAAAGACAACGACGATTTTGCAGTTAAATAAAAAATAATTTTAATTACTCTTCCTTTTTTTGCAAAGTTAAAAAAAAAAATACAATCAATAAATCAATCAATGATTCGTGAATACGTCACGACTTTGACATTAAAAAGCGCCTATATATTGTATCCACAGAAAGCTCAATTAATTGTCAACTATATTCGTAAATCTGGACACGCGTCTTTGCGCAGTAATACTGCGACTTACTAATCCTACTATTATTCGTGATTTTTGTAACGTGGAAACTCGACGTTGGAGAAATAAATAACGTAAGAAAAAGTTGAGTTCTTTTTGTCTCATTATTAAAGCTACGGAACTTAATAGCTCGGTTCAACATACGCGATGAAATTTCGGTCTTTATATTCAATAGATGTGACAGTTGTGACACTCACGGATTCTTTATTAACGTAGTAATGGGCTTACGATGCATTGTTTTTTTCGGTAATGATCAATGATACTTTTAAATAGTACCCTGAAAATCCCGGATAGAAAAAAATTGTTAAAAAATATAATATGGTACGAACGATCTAAAGTCACATTTTTTATTTAGCGGACAAATTTTTCAGACTATGATCAACTCACGTGAATGAATTTTATTGGTTAATGTGTAATCATGTGATTTATAATACAGTCGTCCCCCTTTATAGTCACACCCCTCGGGACTAAAAATAAAAAGTGTGATTATAATAAAAAGTTACTACACAGGGGGATTTTTATATGTTGTTATTAAGTGTTGGTTCTGGAAGGGTGTGACTATAAAAACACTTTGATTATGGGCTTTTATATAGCATTAATAGGTATTGGTTCTTACGAAATGTGTGCTTATAATGAGGGATTTATATGATGTGATTGTACAGGGAGTGACTATAGAGAGGGACGACTGCATATCGTTTTATTTAAAATATTTATTATTCATTGTGATCTATATTTTTTTATAGCATATAACGATCTATACCTGTTAATCCTTTCCTATATGCATCTATAAATCTCCAAGGTCTACGAGCATAATATCAAATTGTTTCTAAGAAATTGAATTTAATACTTCAGAAACTGTTTTTCTAATCCCTTGAAAGAATAATCACAATTATTATGAGTATATCATTTAGTGGCACCTCAAAACATTTCAATAAATTAAGTTTATAATGGAACTTTGGATAAAAATAACTTTATACCCACGAACTTCAATAACTCCTTAACTAATAGTTTTTGTATTAAAAAATTCAATTGAAGTGAAAGTATTCTAACAGCACAACAATCATCTGCAATTTAAGAATGTTTTTACATTCAGAATAAATATGATTTAAATCCTTTTCTGACAATAATTCACATTCTTCTAAAATTAAACAAATTCCTTTTAGTTGTCTATTTAAAAGATACATAAATTGTATTGATCTATCAGGCATTATTCCACTTCTAAACTTTTCTTTACCACTTAATTTAAGATTCATTTTTGATGCAATTAAAGTATCTTTAACATATACAACATGCAGTATTAACCTTTTAAACTAATGGATTTTTAGACCATTAGACTATTGGACTACTAGACTTAATCCATTCCAATTCCATTAAAATTTTGACTATTAAATTATAGATTTCATCTAACAGCTATAAATTTATATAAAATTTATATTATATAAATCATATTTTTAAATAATTAGATTTCACTAAAAATATCTTGAAGTTTCCATCTAGTAGGATGAGGTAAATTTGAAATATTTGTAATATTAATTCAAGCTCTCTATCACCTGAAAAATTAAGTTCAAGTCAGTAAAATCATTCTAGTTAACTGATTTTATTATCATTCAAATTTTAAATTAGGATAGTATTAGAATTTTAATTAAAATTATATATTTATAATCCATTTAAATTGGAATTAAACTGGATATCTCTATTAAGTCTAAAGTCTAATAGTCTATTATTAAAAATTAGATAAGGTCTAATACTAACACTGATAATATAAGATATTGCATTATTAAATGCAAATACACCAATTTCATTAAAAATGTAATTTTTCAAAATTGGAATCACCTTTTCAATAATCTAATTAATTAATAATTAAAAAAAATAAATAAAAATAAAATATTTACTTGTATAATCAAATTTTCTATTTTCTATCAACTATTGCAATTAATACCTGATTTTATTATAATATATATTTCACCTTATTTAAATTTAATTGACTATCAACTTCCATTAAAATTACTGATATATAAACTTAAACCTGCTTCTTTTTTTACAAAGAGGTTAATATTTAACAGGTTTTTAAAAGGTTTTTTTTTACTTTTATTAATATAAAACTAATTTATTATGATATGTCTTTTATCATCTTTGATTTTATTAATATTAAATATTATTATTTAAAAGTTTAGTATTATTGTTCCAATTCTGTCATTTTGTTAAAAATTTTATCAATATTCAAGCATATCAGATCTTTCATATTCATTATAATAAATATCTTTATTTTCTATATAAAATATTTCAAAATATTTTAACTATACTCTTGTAGTAGTATTTGAAATTGATTTTTTATTTTTAATTCTAATACTTAGAAAACTTCTTGTTTAATATATTTTTAAATTTGTTTATAGTTATATCACAATAATACTCTAAAGATATTTAGTAATCATTTAACAAATATCTTTATTACCTAATAAACTTTTAATTTTTGATATTAATTATGCATTGATGTTAAAATTAAATGATACATAATAAAATTTTATGTTTATGTTCTAATTAAACATATATTCCTTCATCTGTAATACAGGCAAATTTGCCTGCAAATGTAAAAAAAAAGTATTAATTTTTTAATAAAAAATAAAATATTAATATTAATAATATAATTATTATATAAAAAATATAG